TTAATATTATTGTTGTTGTTGTCACCTTTATTATCCATATTATTACCCTATTATTACTAAGTAGGCCTAGTATTAAATATCATTATTATTATTATTACTAATTAGTATTACTATTATTATAAAAATAAACATTATCTTTAATTTATTATTGTATTATTGCTATTATCACCTTCAATATCGTTATTATCACTAATTAGTTATTAAAATTGATATTTAAATATCGTTATATTACCATACTAGTATTATTACTATTTGTTAAAATAAATATTACTATTAATGTTGTTATTATAACATTTATTATCGTCATAATGACTAATTAGTATTATTAATGTAAATATTACTAATTTATTATCGTTATTGTTGTTTAATATTATTGTTGAAGTAGAATGTTGTGAGTAAACAGAAGACGAACACATTAATAAATAACTCTTTTTAATTCATAGGCAATAGCATTCAAATCTCTTTTGGTAGTGTGGTGGTCTTGTTTTACTAAAACATACTGTGTACTTTATTTCAATCATATATTGAAGAAAAAGGATGCAAAAACTTAGATTAATTACATTAAATAACTTGTGGCCGAGTTGACTTGTGGCCGAGTTGATTTGAGGCCGAGTTGATATGTGGCCGAGTTGACTTGTGGCCGAGTTGGCAGAAGCCGAAATTTTTGTGGCCGAGTTGATTTGTGGCCGAGTTGACTTGTGGCCGTGTTGACTTGTGGCTGAGTTGACTTGTGGCCGAGTTGACTTGTGGCCGAGTTGACTTGTTGCCGAGTTGACCTGCACCCGAGCTGTACCCCCTTTAGGCCTAGTGTATGGAGATATTTGACTGTCTGATCAGATTAAAGGTTGCATCATCCATCATAATCATATCTCTAGCTAGGACCTAGGCCTAGTTAGTAGTTGTAGTAGCCCAGACTGTATATAGTAAGGCCTGCATGGGGAATATTATCAGTTTTGTTGAAAATTAGGCTCTGACCAAATCTTAATAAGTTAAACTAATGCAATTATGCAGTAATTACAATTGAATTCTGGCACATATTTTCATAGCGATTTTCAATGCAAATTTCAGCTGATTTTGTAGATATCCTCCGCACAATTAGGGCACATAGAAAAATTATTAGATTATTACTCTTTTTAAAGAAAAAAAATCGATGAAGGAAGGCATTTAAAAAAAAATTGGAACAATAGATTACTTCGCTTCTGTTTTTATCGATGAGGGAGGGACTGTTTATATTTGGCTAGTAATAGTAAATATTGTATAAAAAGTGGTTTAATTTTATAGTTATTTAAAGAAAATGTATTTGAAGTCACAAAATTGCATTGTTTTTTTTATGCTGTTGAAATAATTGGTGCGGCAAAATAATTTTTTTTTTAATTCCCGCATCAATATTTTCCAAATTTTTGATGCGGGCAGGAGTGATAATCTAATAAATTTTTCTATTTGCCCTTAACAAAATTTACAGTATGGTATGGGTAGTAGCAGGGTTCACACCCTACAGTCCACTGAGAAAAAAGTAAATTAAGAAATTTAAAAAAAGTTGACTCTGTATGGTAATAATTATTGTATACTGTGTAATACCCAGAACCCGGATCTCAGCAGTGTGTGCTTGTAGGCTTACCTTGAAGATTGATGATAATATAGTGATTTACACCGCACGTTTAGCCAAAGGATACAAGGCGTTGGTGATGGATTACTTATTGTAATGTTGAATTTTTTATGTTTTCTTCTAGACTACTTATAGTGAAGATGAGCATAGAGCCATCCAGTGTGCCCTTGCCCAGAAGCTTGGACCGGGATTTATCAGCCAACGGGCAGGTGCAGGAGGTCAGAAGGTAAAAGGCCAAGAAGGTGCTTAACAAAGCAATAGTAATTCTCCCAATACCCATGTCCCATACACGGAGAAACCACTCAATTTAAATAGGGAAGAAAGTGACCAATAATAAGGAATATTTCTAAATTGTAATCATTTTTAAAAAATAGTATCAATTCAGTTGGAATACAGATGAAGGAGTTTGAGGAGGTCATTGGCTAGTAGTGGCCTGAACAGCTGATGATGATAATGATGATGATAATGGTTGATGATAAAGATGATGATGATATGATTACGATGATGTCAATATAAGGAGTATGATGATGAATGATGATATGGTTATGATGATGATAATGAATGATGATTTGAATGATGTATAGTAGTTTGATTTTTGTAAGGCCAGCAAAACCAGAGTAATATGCCACACTGTGCCCCTTTCACTTTGGATCCGCTACTGACTATTCTGAAGAAATTGTTTATTAATTAAATATAACCATGATTCTCGATAACTCTATTCTTTTTTTAAAATTTCAGTTAGCTTACATTGAAGGATGGAGAATTGTTTCATTGGCAAATGAGACATTTGGTTTCAATGGCTGGTCCCATTCTATAACAAGGCAAACTATTGGTAAATCATATAATATTTCTATATGCGCTGCCCAATTCAACCGGCTATACCATAGGTAACTGCATGAACCAGCTCTGCCCAATGCAGCTCGGTAGATTAGCCATGAGCATTGTTACAGCTGACCAGTCTATTTATGCCCAATGCAGCTGATCAAACCAGCTGGGGCCAGTTTAGCCACGTGAACCCTTCTGATTTCAAGTTAAATAAGCATTACACACTTTCTTTTATCGTGTATGTTTCTAATCTGTTTATTTACTTTTCATGGTAGCGGAACACAAGCCGTACACAGAATATATGTCTAAGGTATTACTATATGCTTTTTAAATAGATTTTGTAGACCAAATTAATAACAAGTTTTACGTTGGAGTGACTGCAACTGTAAGAGTAGAGCTTAAGGTGGGTATATATATTCATATTCATATATTTATATAGCGCCTTTCATTGCAGATACGAAGCGCTTCTGTCCCTGGTCATTGGATCCACATACTTAGTGTTGCTGCTGTATTCAGCGCAGGAGCAAGCAACCCCACCAGGTTACCCATTTATACTCCTGGATGGAGAGTAGCAATGCATATAAAGTGCCTTGCTCAAGGACACAAGCGAAATGCACAGCGAGGGATTGAAACCCCGACCTCGAGGTTGGGAAACCAAACCTTTCATGCTGTGCCAAACCGCTTCTACAAAGCTCTCTTCCGTTTGAAAACACTGTGATGCACATCTATTCACTATACTAATCTCTTCATAAGTTTTTTTGGATGAATGTATACCTCAATTTTATACTTATTGAGTTTAACCGTGTTCATCTTGAAGTGTTCATGGATAAATTCCTATATAAATATCTGATTAAAATGAGTGTAACGCCTGTCCATTCTATTCTTCCAACCCTCCTATTTTAACCCCACATATATTTTTCCAACCTCTAATTTTCTTTTAATAACCCCTATATCCCAAACTTTAATTCTAGAATTCCATCCCCACTTTATTTATTATCATATTCAAATTTTCCTTTCTTTTTCAAATTTCTACTTTATATTTTTCAATGCCTTTTATATTCTTCCTTACCCCTTTAAAGAATGCCCTCCCTACTTTATTTTGAAGGATGGTGTGTACCATGAGGATGTTGGTTATGGGGTGAGTGAGGGGATGCGGTCGAAGGCCTTGTCTCTAGAAAAAGCTCGGAAGGAAGCTGTCACAGATGGAATCAAGAGAGCCTTGAAGTAAGAGTCATCATTTAGTAACCATTACTCACAAAATGCCACATATCAACTTGATAGATACTCAACTGTCCTCACCGAAGTATTTTACTAACAGATAATCAACCTTAACATAGCCCAAGGGTAATAATATTGATGCCTGTTTTTATACAGATTTATTTGTTTAACTTTATAGAAGTTTTGGACACAGTCTAGGGAATTGCCTTGGAGACAAATTGTACCTGAAAACTATTGGGAAAGCTCCTAAACCTGTAAGTCACTTTTTTGCTTATGTAATTTGAGTTCCAAAGCTTATGTCTAATATACGTTTGTACTACACATATACTAAAAGGAACTCGTATTTTCTAAAGTTGAAATATTGACATCTACTACTGCAGGTCTATGTTATTTTCTGTCACACATACACAACAATACATTCCCACATAAATACATACATACATGTATGCATGCACACATACTGTACAAGTCTGTCACCCATACACAAAAGGCTTCACCCATCCATTTTTGTATCTTTTCCATCATTGGATATATTTAATAACCAATAACTATATTGTTTTTACAGGTAGCAGATACATACAATATCAATGACATGAAAAGTACAGAGATTAACCCTGATGTAACTAAAGCCAGATACAGGAGCATGTCATTGTGTCCGCATAGCCAGACATCATCAACAAATTCTGCAATGCCTCCACCACAAACACCAACATTTAAAACTGCAGTCATCAAAACTGAGCCAAAATCAACAGACACTTCTCCTAGCACAGCCTCAATTAAACAAGGAATTGGAGTCATAGAAAACACAAGGAGAAATCTTATTGGTCAAACAACCAAACCCGAGATTGGAACGCATAAACATACAGGTGTAGTTGAAGGAAAGGAGAATTGTAGCAAAGCCATGAGACCACAACAATCTAACAGTGTGTATAGGTCACCAGCTGTGAATCCAGTTGCACATAATCTTCCTAATAAACAGATGGAATCTGCAGAACAGAAAGGACCTGTGACAACTAACACCATGATAGGCCAACATTTAAAAGTTGAGAGAAGATCTACATCACCAACACTCTCAGAAAAGTAATGTTTTGATCAGTTTCCGGCGTATTTAAGCCATTTCAGGAAGTTATGAATAAACTTGCTGAAATATAATAACAATATCAAGAAAAATTCAAAATCTTGAGAATATAATAATGATGATGGTGATGAGGACAATGATGCATGATAATGATCAGATGATGATGATAATATGTTATATAGGGCATGGTTATGATAATGATAATCATATTATTTTTGCTTGATCTTAACAATGTAGTACATTTTCATAATCTATAGGTGCTTCACAGTACTTATCTACATTTTTTAATATCTTGCAGAAAACGTTATGGAAATACTCTAGCACTTATCGACATCTATATTTTGTTTTTATAGTGTGACATCATCTGTTGAAAAAGATCGGTTACTTAGGAGGCAGAAGCAGCAACAAAAACAACAGGAATTTAGAGAAAAGATGAAGCAGCAACAGGAGAATAGAAATGTTCCATTGAAGGAGTTGAAATGTAATGATCCCTCTATATACAGACTCTACATAAATAACAGATGAAAACATTTGTGATGACCATTGACCTCTTATGGCGACTTCTTCAAATAATAATTATTTATCATGATAAAACATTCGATTACAATTAATTCTGTTACAAACAGTTTATAGTACAGTACTAAAAGTCTGAAAATATGTGAGGTCTCACTACAAAATGAGTCTCATCGTTAGAAAATCAAAAAATGAGTTTATATTACATTTTGGTAGATCACATTATAAGCTTTAATTTGGTCTTTGAATAGCTTCCCTAGGATAAATAGATCCAGAGATGTTAGCATTTAAAGTTTAGGTGTATGAGAACCAGGTTTTGAGAAAATCTGCCTCAAAGATAAACTAACCTGTACAAATAATAGGACTAGAATTACAGAATATGTGAAGAGAACACTCTTTTAGTAAGAAAATTCACTTAAAAATACACAATCATAAAATATAATTATCAAGTTATTTAAAAACATTAAAATCAAAATTTTGTAAAAATATTGCCTTTGACCTATTTTGGTAAATATATCAATATGATTTCACCAACGATGCATCTCATTTTGTGGTGAGATTTCACATATGGTGAAGAGTATATTTTGTTTCACATTGTGTTTGAGGTAAATATTAAATTTCTTTTGCAGTAGAAAATATATCGCCTGTTGCAACATCAACTCCGATAGAAGAGGTTAGAGCTGCAGATGCAGGCTTTACAGTAGAGGATTTACTGCTTGCAGAGGGTAATCATGTTTATTTTAAACACTTCTTGAGTGTTCTTTACCTTATTATTTTTAGGATGTTACATCTACAGAGAACTAGTACAGTATTATAACACAGTACTGAACTTTTACTTACAGATGACCCAGAGTTCTGGATAGCATCACAAGTCTGTCAACCTGATGAGGGCGCTTCAAAACCAATCATAAATCATTATCAAAGTCCCACAACTACAAGAATCTGTCCTGATGTACAAGCACCTAGCTACCCTACCAAGCACTCAAACTGGATTCAAGAGAGTCGAGGAGGGCCAGGTTTACAAAATAGTGAGTTGTTTCTTTCACTATCTCCAAAGGGCAGAGGATCTAATCCTTATTTTTATTATTTGGGTTTTTGAATACAACAAATTAGTGTTGTGTGCAATATGGTGCATGTTAAAGAATGCAGAACTTTTCAGAAAGGAGCATGGCATTGCGTCCTGCTGTAGTGCCAAATTCACCAGAAGCTGAGACAACGTATATAGTTGTCTCATCCACAAGGAGGATATTACTGGAAATAGGCCTTTAGACTTTAGTGGGTTAGGCATGACTTTTTATACCTTGTTTAGCGAACCCGCTGACTGCAAATATTGATCATTTCAAATAAAAATAAAATTTTATTTTTGACCAATTAGCACACCTGTCAATAAGTTTGTCTTTATTTTTATTATGCTCTCCACTGCCTTGAAATCTGCAAAAGATAAGATATGTATATTTCTACCTAATTATATAAATTTGTAGCATTTAACTATCCTGTTTTATATTCACAAAAGATAAGTACGCAAAACAAGGAATAAAAAAAGTCTTGACTTATTGTTGGTGAGATTTAGAACAACACATTTCAAATCCAATCTAGAAGTATTCAAGTCACACTACTGCGCAACCCTAAAACTGCATCTTCTCCCAACCATCTCTTCATGGCCGTCTTCTATCAATTTTTAACCCTCCATTGGAATATACCACCGCTTGCATAAGTCAAACCACAAATAGTAATTTATTGTATATAGTATTTTAATCCTTTCTTTTAACGGATTCTTTTTTCAGATAACGGACCAATAAAAAGACGAAGGACAGATGAATTAAGATGACAGTGGCATACTTAATTACATTTTAGATATTCCCGATGTAAACTAATATTTTTATTAAATTTCTTTAAATTGTATAGTAGTTTGAATACTGTATGTGCACCTGAATTGACTGCCAAGCAGAAATGAACAAAAGTACAGTACAGTATAATGAAATAGAGTTGGCAGGAACTGCCATCTAAAAATGTGCCTATGCAAATAAAATTAATATTTACAATTTGAATGAAGCCAATAACAAAAGCAATAGGTTTTGAGGACATTGTTGGAAAACGGTTGCCTTAGGGAATGTCTGAAGTCACTAATGGCTCCTAAGGGAACTATTTTTCAATCAACAAAAAGTTTACACTCAGTTCACCATTTAATTCAAGACCCTCCATTAAAATACCAACTAACAATCTCCTATCAAGCCCCTGACACAACTCCAAATTTTCAGCCCCTGAAGGTGGTATTAAATTAGGGTGTGAACTGTAATTGCATTAATTATACAGTTGAACACCATGCTGTATAATGTTTAAAACCCAGCCTAGGAAATTATAAAAACAGGGCGCTTGAAATGTGGACTAGTGACTCGATCAATGACTTTCTTCGCCCCTAAGGGTCCCTTTGTGTGTGTGCTACCCGGTAACCCGGTACCAGCAACTCTCGTCGTCCACCACAGGGGCTGTCTGTTCCAGTACACCAGGGTATCCCCCTACTCGTCTCGAAGGATGTACAGGTTTCTTTATAGTGCACACAAGCCATTGTATACACTGGGCCTACGGTTTATAGTCCTTATCCGAGAAGACTTGTTCTACCACCAGAACCATAGGCGAGCATGCCGTTCGAACCAGCGCCGATATTATGGCTATAGCTTGCGGCGCCCCTGCTAACCACTCGGCCATTCGACTCACCTGTTGTTCATAAAAGGTAGCCATTTTATTACCTTAGTTGTAATTTAAAATACTACAACATAAGTTACAACATAGTTTCTGATTTACTTCTGCTAGTCTTTTTATAAACTATTCACAATTAGCTTCACTGTTAATATTCTTACAAAAGTCCCTGAAGCAGTAATAAATAAAAATAAGAGATCAGGAAGTTTCCTCAATATTATTATTAATATTACTATGGCTAAAAACTTACTACCAGGAGACACCCTTATTAAGGAGATGCTTTTTGGGTGTCGAAGGTGTCCACTTTAGGGGTTCTACTGTATTATGTTGCAAGTGGAATAAATAAGTGGTGGATGCTACTAATATTGAGCACTCTTTCAATTTCAAATAAACATTTATTTCTTCACACAATACAATATAATAACAAAAGGTAAATATTGAACAGTCGGATTTCATAAAAAAGAAGACTTGTGTGAAAGAGGGCACTGCTCAAAAAGCAAAAGCCAAATGATAAAAGGAAAAACCATTTATCAAGTGGCACTTGTAACAAGCGACCCATATAATAACGAAAGCATATATTTCTTTGAAATAAATACATAAACGAAACAACACACTTTATGTTGAGTTCTTTGTATAACAAAGTAGCAAGCATGCTTGTGGATCTGTGTTGTAAATAAATCGTTTCCTGAAGAAGTTGCTGAGATAGTAACGAAACTTTGGAAGTAAGCTATATTTTATTTCAAATAATGCCAATTACAAAAATAATCATTTGATATTATGAGCATTGGAACAGTATCAAATATTTTTGACAAAGCAGTAAGCATTCTTTCTCAAATTGGGACTAGCATGACTCCAGTCAACAAACAAATCAAAATTTAGATCACTTGTAAGTTATTAATTATATATTTAATATTAGTCACTCTTGGTCCTAAACTCGAATCATGATTAGAAATATTGTTATAGTTTGTTTATAAACAATAATTTATATGAGAACCATTCAGTTCGAGCGGAAAAAAATCCACTTTTGTGAACAGCCTGTGCGAGTTAATGTACGATTTACTTTAAAATTTCCTATTTTGAGCTAACAATTTGATAGTTTGTCGCCCTCTTCGGATTCAAATATATATATAATTAAATTCTATTTGTATTTGAATGAATGATAATAAATTTTGTAATGTAAAAACGACAAACACGCTATCAAATTATAATGATGCACAAAAATCTGTTTTACTACAGCCAATTTAAGCTTTTATGTAGGCTTGTTCTGGTGTAGGCTTTTGCTCTTAAGTTTGTAAATAAAAAAGGCAATGAAATGTAACAGGAGTGTATACAATTGAATTCCCCTGCATACTGACAGTTTATTGTGTTATTGTTTTTTAACTTGCTTCATTGAATTAAAAGGTCAAGTAGTTTTAGGATAGGATTATCCAGCTACTATACATAACAAACTAGTCCCAGGAAGTTCATAATAAAACGGCATGTTGGCCTATTGTCATTGCTGGCTTATTGTCTTTTGGTCTGCTTCAACTATCCAGTGTCATGACACATCCTTGGTTGCGATTCTGGATACTACTGACTGGACCAATGAACTGTATTTTAATTCTTCATCTGGAATCTTGTAAACCTGCAGAGAGTATTAAAAAGTAATACTTTTTGAGGCTACTTTTGCAAAGTAAAGAGGGGAGCTTTTTATCAAAATGATTGCTGTAAATTTTGTGAATTTGTAATATGAAACAAAAATTAAGGCCACTGTAACATCAATTTGTATCATAGAGTGTATTTAACTGGCATTAAATCACCTAAACTACTGTATGAACCAAGCTTGTGTTTAATTTTTGTTTTCTGAAATTCATGTACAGTGTATGTACTGTACTATCTTGAAAAAAGCCTTTGCTCTCTTCAAAAGAAGCCCATGAGCTTCTTTTCAAGGCTAATTTTTGAAACTAAAGAGGGGGCTTCAATTTGAGATGGGTCTCATCTCGAGATTAAAGCCCATTGGGCTTTAATTCGAGGATATACGGTATGTCAGTAGTCAGTAATGATGCACCATTTCAACAAGCAAAACTGCCAAATGTTGATAACACTTTCTAAAGCTTGGTTTCCATAGAATCGCTCGCACTGTCGGTGACAGTTGTCAGGAAGGTTGAAGCTGGATCAACTTTGCTGATTGCGTTGCATACAAATCAGGGTGCATTGCTAGCTGCCCTGACGCAATCGGGAAGGCACCCAATTCGTCTGCAATGCAATTGGCGAAGTTGAACCAGGTTCAACCGTCCGGACGACTGTCGCAGATAGTGTGAGCAATTCTATGGAAACTGAGCTTCATTAACCAGTTTCTGAAATGCTTTGAAAGGAATGGGTCTTGATGGCACCCAACTCATTGGTAGCTGACTCTTAATATCAAGGGTCCAAAGTTGGAAGGAATCCCTTCTGGGAGGTCTATAGTCTAATAAGCTGTCTTAATAATATTCAATTTTAATTTGCTGTGCCTGGTGATACCCATCAGAACTGTCTTATCTGAGACGATTGATAATAAAGTACTAAAAACATGCAATTAAAAATAAATTCACGATATTCCGGGATATTCTTGCTTGCTTGCGGAAGTGTGGGAGGCCGTACCAATTGCCGGAAAAACTCCTGCGATTTCCAGAAGACTTGGGGCCCCCTGTAATATTGACCAACTCACCTGTTTTATCCTATCAATATCTGAGATTTCTTTTAGGTTTTCCAGTGGAATCAAATCTCCTACAATCCTCTTTTGCAAAACATTGAATTTATCATTACTTTCATCATTTAGAACAACCACCAACAGGTGACTAGCATCATTCTGGAAACTGAATAACTTAAAAGATTCTCCAATCTGCAAATTAAAAAAATGATAACGACGTCTAAGTTGGGTTTTTGCACATTAACTGATTTGATTGATTACTGTAAGTGTGCGGTGCTTATTCAAGAGCAGTGCTTATTAAAAAAATATTGGAGAGGAGCTTTCCCATGTTAACTATCTCACGTATTCCCGTAGTTCGGTAGGTCTATCATAGACCC